AAGAATCTTCGTCGGTTCCTAGTTCGTAATTTGTTCACATGAATGTAAATAGTTGATGTGGCTGGTAATAGAACAAATTCGCAAAATTATCGAACAACTTAGGAAATTTTTAATCTGTATCGAGTGATTTGATTACTCATAATGGAGAATATAAAACTAACCACACATATACAACGGTGCAGATTTCGAGAAGAATTATGGCAATCTCAATTACACGAGTGTTTATATTCGAGAATTCCACAGTAATGTGTGTGTTATGACTGCTGATGATTTGATTCGAGTAATTTTTCAGATTTTCGTCTTTATTGTACAATTCATAATACCACTGATAATAATGTTCATATGCTACTACCAGATTTTCGACGAACTCAAGCGAAGAGCCACCACAAAAATCAAGTAAACACATTCATTCATAAATTTGCTCGTTTCAATTATTAATTCTTTGCTTATTCTTATCTGCAACTCGAGCGTGAACGTTTCGAATTTGAGATCGCAAAAGAGCAAATTCGTTTTCATTCATTCGCCTCACTGAGGGTGAAATCCCCCCATGAATATGGTGCAATTAATTGGAGATGCCTTCACCAAGATCAGATCAAAAATTCGACTGAATTAAAATTCGCTACTACCATCATAGTCGGATAGATTCATAAGATAATTCTGTAAAATACACAATGCTATCAATTCTTTCATCTCCGCTCCAGCAACAGGCACAGCCAAGAATGTATCCAACTATTAAGTGCAACCAACACTAAAAATTCTCATTAGCTACAAATGATTTCTTTGAACCCAAAAGACTGCTAATGTATTGGTTTGTTGTTTATCATCGCATGAAAATGCGTTGAATCCTCACAAATTTCCACCGACATTAATCAACAATATTGAGCATACTCAATTGAAAACATGGTAATTCCGTCTTCACAAAATTTTAAGTCGGTCCTATCCATCCATATAAACAATTTGGAACTGTTTTATGTGTCAATCAAAGTGAGCAATCATTCAGAAAGCTTTTTTTGTGTGTGTCGTTTTATCATCTTCGTCAACGAAATACGCCGAGCCTTGAGATTATTCCCATAGCGAACAGACAACAACAACGTCATGAGATTGAATGAACTTTTACGGCAGAAAACTTTTGCGCATCGCTGAAAAGTAATCGCGTGAGTACTCACGGGATTCAGAAAGCATTATGCATTTAGTTGATTGAAACGCACTCCAGACGTTTCACTTTTGCGTGCGATTTCAGCCGATGATATCATGTCGCATTCAAAATTGACAATGTTTCAATTTTCCTACTCATAAGCCATTCATTCATTCTCTCTTCCTTTTTTTTTCACCGTATCGATTGAATGAAATAGATTCGATGAAATGAATTGAAGCACTAGAAAAAATGGAAAATATGGAACAAACTAGAGAATATGCACTTAACAAAAAAGAGAAGATGCACTTACGGATGTTTGAACGCAAAGTACAAATCGAATTTTTCGAATATATCATGCATTAAAAGTATGAAGCGATGAAAATTAATAAAAGTATGAGGACGCATGAAATTTTCATTGATAGAAAGAACAGTCGACCAAAATGATTAATACCGATGAAACGACGCAAAAACTCAGCAGATGAAAAGGGATCTACCGGGATATTTCGCAAGAATTATTGAAGTATTGTGTGCATCCATCCTCCTAATTAGGTGTATTAGAAGAGGGTTTTTTTTTGGGTGCTTCGTCTGAAGACAAAGCCAACATCACAGATACAACGAATAAGAGATACGAATGTATAACCACTGAATTCATTCAATAGATACCCTGAGGGTTTTCGCTTTGAGCCAGATTCCGCTATTCATTAACTAAAAAAAAGAAAAAAAACTAAGTTTGAACGCTTGAAAAGCCGTTCATTTGAATAATTCAAATAAATTGTGATTAAGTTTCCAAGTGTGCGTTTAGTTGTGTTACTCGGTACCATGCCCCAAACTCATTTGTTCGGTATTTCCAATAGCTAATGACAATGGCTGAGTTCAGGGAAATGCATAACTAAACAATGCACACTGATTATGTGTCACAGTACCAGTCACCATGATATCTTTCAATAATACATTCGGGCAATTCCATGAAGTGGATAATGGAAAGGATAAGAGTTCTTTAGTCGAAATCGTTGAGCCTTTCTCTAGACCAAACACTATTCTTCAAATTTGTTTTTTTGAGGCGAATCAAGGAACGATCCGTTGTGCTTGCTTCTGTCTCGATGGCCGGTGCAACTAATCAAATTGAGAATCATGTCGTCGACGGAAATGACACCAAAGAAGCACAGGTTATTGATTGCGATGAATTCAATTCTATTGCAGTTGTTCACATCAGTATCGAATGCTCACGCTATCGACAACCTAAAATTTCTCAGCAACAGCAAAATACTAGATAGAATCCAGGTTTAAATCAATGAGAAAACTTCACTTAGTTGACGAGTGTAGTAGCTGTTTTTCGTGTCATTTCTTGACCTCAACATGCCATTTAACGTGCTTCATAACGTGTCACGTGTCACGAACTCAGCCAGATCAGACATGTCAAGTTCACTTGCAAATCCGAAAATTTGCTACCAATGAAAGCAGACAACCTGACAGCCGAAAAGCAGATAAGAACATTTTTTTAAAGGAGAAGTTGAAGTGTGAGGTGGTGGCAAATGCCCGTCGTAATACGATATTGCTGGTGAGTATGGTGGTGATGTTCGCTGTAGCATGGTTACCGCATAATATTGTTTCGTTGCTGATGGAATTCGATGAGAGAATCTTCGAAAGGGACGATGGTGTAAATATTATTTATCTGATTAACTTATTCACACATAGGCAAGTGTTCGTTCATCATTGCATAAACAAAATAATATCGCGCCGTCAAGCTCCACAACCATTCGATCCTTTCACTCCACATTTCTACACGGCAGATCATGTGAAAATTCTGTGAAGTGACAATTTTTTTGCAGTCCGCAAAATCCAATTAAAATAATATTCACGAGGCTTCCAGACAAATAGTGGTTTCCTTTCAACTTAAGAAACTGGAACGTATAAATTTTAAGTTTTTCGAAATGGTTAGTGATGAGAAATTAGCACTGTGCAAGACCTATTGTCCTATCGGTTTATTAGTTGTCCGTAAACCACGTGGGCAGTACATGATTAAATGTGAACGAAAATGTTTTGAACGAAGCATCTCCAGTCTACAATGTTGATGCTGGATTTTCAGTTGAAGATTCAAGCAAACAGAAACAAGAAAACATGACGTGGGAAATGCTGAATGATCATTGTAAATTCGATTGCTTTCAGTGTTGCGATGACAAACAACGTCTCAAATCCGATTTTATATGCACTTCTGAATCCGTTGTTCATCGAGCTAATCGCTGCATCCGTAACTCAGTTAAGGAGTTATCTCGTTAACGTATGGTCAAATCAGTCCACTCATCACTCCTCCAATCCACTGTGATATTCAATATCGTCGTATTCAATTCACTCCCTCATGCTATAAAATAGAATCAATCGCTTCTATTCAAATGAGTCTCTTCTTGCTTGCCTTGCCATATAGTGAAAGTTTTATTAAATGTTCTTTACATTTTAACGATATTGCATCGACGAAACGTATCCAAACAACCAATAACTTTGTTACATCCAATGCAATGTAATAAGACGTCACCATCAAACAAAAACTTCGATTTCATTTCATTTTATTTCAAGCACCAACGATCGCTTAATGCATCATGTATTCTTTATGCGTATTTCTCATTATATTTGATGAGTTTTCCCAGTGATTAAGTGTTGCTAAATTAAGAACATGTGAACATGCAATACGCAGAATTTGAAATTCACACATCAAACTCTGAAAATTCCGAGTGAAACGTAACTGCCCATATTAGTCTGAGTGAAATGAAATGTACATGCAACAACTTTAAAAATGAGTTATGTTTCTGAGATGCACTGGGATCTGCAGTCAGTTTTTCATGATGATAACGTATTCTCACAAGGGAAAAATCTATCCTCTGCAACATGAAACTAATGAATAACCTTCTGGGATATTTGTTTTTCACGACTAAACATCTTTCAGAACTCAAAAACCGCGGATCATCCTTGATGAAAGCACCACGTTTTGTGGTGATGTGTTCAAAGAATTCATTAACTTTTGCTCATCGCTATCATATTTCTGCACTCTTTTAAGA